TAAGGACTTCTTCTAGAGGGGTTCAAAGGGTGCTCCAGCACCCGTCAACTTTTAACAGGTAAAGTTTCCTATTTCGTTGCATTTTTTTTATAAATAAAAATTGAATTGTTAAAATAGTTTATTCAACTCAAAATTTGCGAGCAGAAAGTGATTTTCAAGCAGAAAGTGATTTTCAACCAGTGAGGTAATAAGTTGTTTCTTAAATAATTATATTAAATTAAAAAAACAAAAAACAAACGAAGTGTTTATGTATGTGTGTGTTGTGTTGATTAATGATTAAAATAATAGCAAATTAAGAAATCATATATAACCGGCTTTAAATGATTACTTAATTTGCTATTATTTTAACCATTAATTAACACAACACACACACATATTTTGTATAGCCTACACACACACACACATTTTGTTTAGCCTATACTATAGGATATGCAAAAAGCTATACTATAGCTTTTTGTGCCTAATATTTTACTACAAACTTTTTTATTTAAGCTGAAAGATGTGTAAAATTTTGTTCTAGGTGCTTAAATTTAAAAAACTTTTTTTAAAGTAAAATTGTGTTCATCCTTAAGTATATATACTTAAGCATGAACACAATTTTACTAAAAAAAAAAGTATACAAAAAATTATATAATATCATATTTCATATAATATCATATTTCAAGGAGAAAATAATCAATTATGTTATAATTTTTTTATGTTTGAATAATACCAAATTTATATATATATATATATATATATATATATATATATATATATATATATATATATATATATATATATATATATATATATATATATATATATATATATATATATATATATATATATATATATATATATATATATATATATATATATATATATATATATATATATATATATATATATATATATATATATATATATATAACTAACTAAGATATAACTAAAATTTTACTAACTACATCTTTTGAAAGGAAATTCTTAAATGTTCTTTTTTTCTTGCTGAATTGACTACCCAGTAAGCACAAAGACGTTTAAAAGACGTTTTAAAGATGTCTTTAAGGAGGTCTAAAAAGCGCACTTGTAGACGTCTAGATCATAAGGCTAAAAGACGTCCAAATAAAGACGTCTTAATAAAAACGCGCTTTAGACGTATTTTGGACGTTTTTTTTAAGATAAATTTAAGTACATGATGTAACATTTTCGCGTAGTATGTGGTATATATTTATTGTATTTATACGTCATATATTGTTATAATTTCGTATATACAAAATTTACAAACCAGCAACCTAAATAATATAGCTATCACCACCAACGGTTGATGCTGCCAAGATGAAAATAATAATTAACAATAACATTTATATATCAAAACAGTATTTATGCATTTATAACTTACCTTTAGATATTATTAAATTTAACATACGTACTGCTAGCTAATTTTTGACCGCATACTTGACTTATTATATGGCTTGTGGGTGTATAAAAACTAAAAAATACTGATATTTATTTTATATAATATTCTTGCCATTTTCACTTATTATCATGATCAGTCAACTATCTATTAAAAAAGCAAAATAATTATTTATAAAAAAAAGATATATTAATATTATAGCAATTATTTTAGTGATTCCTGTGACAACAATTTTAGCAATTGTGTAAAAAAGTAATTTAATTTAAAGTAATTTACACTTAAAATTTGAACAAATTATTGAAAATAATAAAAACTATGTTTTTACTTTGAATTTACGACATCTACTTAACGCGTAATGACAAAGCCGTCAAAAAGAAGTCATAATGACATATTTATAAACAGGTCTCAGAAAAGACGTTTTTAATACGTCTTTTAGACTATTTATTATGCGTCTTTTAAACGTCTTTTTAAACTTTAAAAAGACGTCATTTTAAAAACGCCTTTATAGAAGACGTCTAGAAGATGTCTTAAAAATTGACGTCTTCTAGACGTCTTTTTATCTTTTAAAAAGACGCCTTTTGACCGTCATTTTAAAAACGAATTCATAAAGACGTTTAAAATATGTCTTCAAAACGTCTACAAAAGTGCGTCTTTACCTAGACTAGTTTTAGTCGTCTATAAGTGTCTAAAATGCGTCTTGTGCTTACTGGGTAGGTACCTATTTTGAGTATTGAGAAGTATTAAAAAAATTAATTTATAAAGATAAAAGGCCTAGATAGTTAAAATAACTTCCAAGATGGTTATTAGAAGAAAAAATATTACTTACATTATTCTTTGTAAAACTTTAAGATTTATCATTGACTTCATATATTTTCTTTAACTTTGTTTTGGGAAAAGAGAAATTTTGAATCACAGACTTTCAAATTTTGGAGGAGCTGAATGAAATTAAGAAGTTTTTATTAATAAAAATTCAATAGGCATATTACATAAAATAAATTATATTACATTAACCATTACAAAAAAATAAACTATTGCCAAAACCGTTGTTCTATTTTTTTAAAACCTAAGGCAAAAATAAAAATGAACTTTAGAGTTAAATACATTTAATCAAATAAAATTTCTTTAATTTAAAACAAAATTAGATACAAAAACTACAAACACATCAATTCTAGATTCCTAAATGCATATTTAAATAAATGCAATATGAGTTTTTGAAATACAAAACAAAAATGTAACATAATATTACCAAATATAAACATGTATTTGACCAAAACATATATATCAACTGACACTTGATGTAGTACTTGATGACGCTCCTAAAAATAAAATCTTAATTAACAAGTAAATAAAACTTATGGATAAAGTAAAAAATATTCTTACAAGTGTTTTTTTTTTAGCATTAGCATTTTTTTTTTTTTTTTTTTTTAATTTTTCTGTTCAACTTTAAATTGTATCTAACTGATGTTTTACACTATCTATTTCTAAATTTTAACTAATACTACAAATTCTACTAATTTTAGTTAATAATAACTAATAGTTCTAAATTTTAACTAATTCTAAAAATTTAAAATTTTAGCAAAACTCATTTTTATTTTATTTGACATATATTTTGCATTTTTACTATTAAAACTGACGCTATAAATCAGGCCTTTAAGGAGACATTTTTCTATTATTTAAAAAGATTTGGTCACGAAAGTCAATTTTTTGAAATTAAAAATAGCAGAATTAAGGAGAAAATAACTAAATTGAAAACAGAATCTTATTTTTTTCAATAAATTTAAAATAAAAACAAAAATATTATTATAAATTACCATATTACTTTTATACATATATATATATATATATATATATATATATATATATATATATATATATATATATATATATATATATATATATATATATATATATATATATCCTTTGGAATTAGGGTCGGCATGCAGCAATGCCAACCTAAAAGTGTTTGAGGTCAACAAATATTGCTGACCTTGCTTATATGTTTAATGGTAAGACTTTTAAATCACTTTTTTTTGCTTTTTTGATTGATGTCCACAAATTATTGTCAACCTTTTTTTTCTTAATTTCAAGGGTTGTGTGTGTATATATATATATATATATATATATATATATATATATATATATATATATATATATATATATATATATATATATATATATATATATATACAATAGAAATATAGCTTTGCAATCAATCAAAGAACTTTATAATTTCTTTAATAATAAGTATAATCCATTTACTTTAATAAAACTTTCTAGGTGATAAAAAAAAAGGAGAAATTAAGAAGTGTTTCTCATCGGTTACTTAGTAAATTGCCAATAACATGCCAACATGTGATATAGTGGTTATTCATGTTAATACAGTTATATAAGAGACAGGTGGGTAGAAAATTTCCTTTAGAGTAAACGAAATTTTCTACCCTCCTGACTCTTATATAACTGTTATGACTGGTTTAATTTTTTCAATTAGACTTATTTTTTAGTCAAAACTTTTGAACTTCACTAACAACTAATTACTAAAGTTAAGTAATTGGTTATTAGCGAAGTTCCAAAGCTTGATATTATAATATTTCAAAAAGTTCATCAACTAATGTCCAATTATTTCGAATAGAACAATCTAAAAGTTGTTAATTAAAGATATTGAATTATATTGAATTATCACCATAAACTCTCTGTATTAATAGGTTTTCCTTTTGAAAAATATGCCTATGCATGAGATTCTGCGATGTCTAAGTCTTTCAAACAGTCAGAACTTGGTTCTTGATATAGTATATCAGTTATTATGCTTGAAATACTATATCAAGTGTCAAGTATATACTTAATATATATATATATATATATATATATATATATATATATATATATATATATATATATATATATATATATATATATATATATATATATATACATGTATAAATATATATATATATATATATATATATATATATATATATATATATATATACATGTATATATATATATATATATTTATATATTTATACATAATTATACATATATTGCGTGCCTTTTTCTGGGCAAAATTGATCACAAGGTCCTTCAGGTCCAGCTTGTCTGCAAGTTCGTTCTCAATGGAAAGAGTTGCCAACCCAACCAATCTGTCTTGGCACATGGATGATCGAGTGTATGTCTTTATCAATTTTAGTTCGGAAAAACTACGCTCTCCACTAGCGACAGAAACAGGTAGTGTCAGCAAAATACGGAGAGCAATACAAAGGTTGGGTAGACTGTCTTTCAAGTTTTGGCAAAGAATAAATCGAAAAACATCTTGAGGAGACTTTGTTTCTTCAAAAAGTCGTCGTGCAATAGACTGTAGTTCGCCACACAAATCTGATGCAACTAAATCTCTGTTATCACCATGTTGTAAAGCAGATTCTAGTTTCATGCAACATTCCAATATTTCTTGTGAAGTTTTACTCTGTAGACCATGAATATGATATAAGAAACCAAATACAGATTCAATTGTTCTCATTTGTTCAAACCTTTCTTCAACCGACCTTATTGCTGTGTCAAGTATAGCAAAGAAAAAATTCACTTTAAAATTTTGTTTTGGATCTTGCACAGGCTAATCTTCAGCTTCATATGCAAATTGCTTTTTTCTCCGCCGTAATCGTGGTTCTGCCTCAAAGGTTGGTGGTATCTCCAAATCCTTAGCAATTTCAGCAGCATCCACTAGCATTCTTGCAAAACCTATGTCACTCCTACAGTCAACCAAATAGGCTTGTGTGTGTTGTAACTGTTGTACAGCAGCATGAGTATCCAAATCTTTAGCTTGGAGCTGCTTACTTGTTATATTGATTTCAAAAAGTATCTTGTACCATACAACAATTGAAACCACGAACTTAAACTTTGCAACACTATTCGCAAGTGCTTTAGCATCACTGCGTGCAGTGCTTCCTGAGGATCCAGTTAGAGAAGTATCATTAGCTATTTCTAGCAGTGCATCATATATTTTACCAAGTTCATATCGCAAAAGCTTTATAGCATCTATTCTGCTTTCCTATCTTGTTTCACCTAGAGGTTTAACAGTTAACGTAGGTTGATGACTAGTGAAAACTACCCACCGATGTGTTGAAGACAAAAAATATACATACACACGTTGAACAATATCAAAAAAACTTGTAGCCATTAGACAACAATTTGCAGCATCATTGACAACCAAATTAAGAGTATGCGCGCTGCAAGGAACAAACAATGCTCGAGGATTAATGTTTAATATTTTCTTTTGAACACCATTTTTTTTGCCTATCATATTTGCGCCATTATCGTAGCCTTGGCCACGTAAATTATCAATAGGTAACTCCATTTCTTCTAGTTGTTGTATTATCGTTTCTGCCATATAAGCTCCAGTTGTTTTCTTTAAAGGTACAAAGCCTAAAAAATGTTCTTTGATACTAAACTCCTTTTTCAATGAATCAACTTTAACAAAACGAATAATTATTGTCATTTGCTCAACATGGCTACAGTCAGGAGTACCTTCGAGAACTATTGAAAAATATTTTATTGCATTTGCTCTTTGTATGATTTCTTTCTTAATAGCATTTCCTAACAGTTGAATAAGTTCATTTTGTATATCTTTGCCAAGATAAAGTGTATGAAACTCTTGATTTGATATCTTTCGTAGATGTTCGTTCATTAATGGATCACAAATGGCTAAGTATTGCACAAATTTTAAAAAATTCCCGTTATTGGCACTGTACAATGTTTTATTTGTACCGCGAAAAGCTAGATTCTGTTCACCCAAAACTCTCACTAATGCTATTAAACGCTTTAGTATTTGCTGCCAATACTTTTCTTCATTCTTCATCTTGCTCAAAATTTCTGCATCTATTGTACTATCCCTCTGTAATCGCTGATGTAGTTCTTTCCACTTTTGATAGTTCTGCAAATGTTCAGGACTTTTCTCGTGGGGAGAAAGAATTGCCGCCATGTTTTTCCAGTCACTTGAACCTGTATGAGTTAGTGATGATATGCCAATTGCTTTTATACTGAACAGTTAGCAACAGAAACAAAACACTGAGTCTTTTAATACTAAATACAAGAGCCAGCTACGACATAATTTTTCTCCATTAGGAAGTTTTCTTAAGTAGTGAAATACTGAAAACTTTCGATTGTTTTTATCATTTGGGAAACTGATATCTTTTATTTGCTCAGGTCCACGTTCTACAATGATTGCACGTGTATTATGATTAATTAGTAGAGGCCAAAGTGCTGGATCCTGTGGAATAACATTATCCGTTTTTTCTTCACTTGCTTGCTGTACATGTTCCTCGAGAGAATTATTCAATTGGCCATTATCCGCATGGGAAACGGGAACTGTTGAGTAAGAAAGTGTTTCACTCATCATCACATTATCATTATCAACAACATTAGATATTTCTTCAGCTTCCATATCAGTGGGAATCTGTCCACCATTACTATCCTCTTTAGTAGAGTCTTGTCGGCATATAAACTTTAGCAATGAACCCTTCTGTTTTTCTTGTTCTCTCTGCTGTTCAACTTTTCGTTTACGATATTGAGCTCCTGAAGGCTTCTTTCTCTCAGCCATATCTGAAGTGTAACAAGAAAATAATAAAATAAATGAATGTTGCGATGTTTAACTAATACATTAATAGGTCTTCTGTGATTGGCTTCAAGAATAAATTATATATAGCTAGCTATAGTTTCCAACAGGTCTGAACAGCTCTGTAAGGTTTTAACAGGTTATCATTTAACTGTATTATACAAAAAACAACTTGGCAAAGTTATACGTCCTGCTAGTATTTTTTGCGTTTTTTTAAATGGAAATGGAAGTTAGCTATATTTAGTGAGATTTCAATGTGTAATTAGCTGGTGCAAATCAAGACATATTGTAGAAGCGACTCAACAAAAAAATTAACCTGCTAGATGCATTGTGTTTAAATAATTCAAATTTTATTTTGTATAGCAAAGTTATACGTATGGTGAAGTATAATAATAATATAATACGTAATATATAATAACCCTAGATTTAAGCTAGTTATTATATATTCATATAAAAAATATTTTACTTTTCTTAATAAGTGTCTAAAACTTAATATAAATGTTTAATAGTATATAGAATGTCACTACTCAACTATATGTATATATATATATATATATGTATATATATATATATATATATATATATATATATATATATATACATACATATATATATATATATATATATATATATATATATATATATATATATATATATATATATATATATATATATATATATATATATATATATATATATATATATATATATATATATATATATATATATATATATATGTATATATATATATATATATATATATATTTATATATATATATATATATATATATATATATATATTATATATATATATATATATATATATATATATATATATATTGTCAGTATAAATTATATAAAGAATATAGTCGACTAACTATTGAAAGTTGTTATGAAAATCACTTTGATTGTAAAGACGCCGCCATATTTGTTATGATTTAGATTGCGTTCGGTAAAATGTACGTACATATTGCTCAATGAGCAAAAGCGTTGTTTTTTGTTAGCATATAAAAAAACTTATCAATTTTTAGGCGCCCCTAAACTTTGGCGCCCTAGGCGATTGCCTAGTTCGCCTAGAGGGTACACCGGCCCTGTATATATATATATATATATATATATATATATATATATATATATATATATATATATATATATATATATATATATATATATATATATATATATATGTATATATATATATATATATATATATATATATATATATATATATATATATATATATATATATATATATATATATATATATATATATATATATATATATATATATATATATATATATATATATATATATATATATTAAGTATATACTTGACACTTGATATAGTATTTCAAGCATAATAATTGATATACTATATCAAGAACCAAGATCTGACTGTTTGAATTTAATTCATAAATTTTTTATGTTATTGTAAAAATATTTTACTTTTTAAACAAATCACAAAGAAACAGAGCTATAGAGAAAAATCGTTTTTAACGATTAAATCTTTTTTTTTAAATTTTAGGAAATCAAAAAAAAAAAAAATTAAATATAAAAGTCCTAATTATGCAAACTCTTTTGTTAATTGCTCTTAAAAAAAAAAAAAAAAAAAAAAAAACACTTCTACGCAAAACTTTAATCGTGCAAACTTAAAAAATACTCAACTGAAATAATTTAAATATATTTAATAATTTGAATCGTATCTGTTTATAATAAATTTGTTTATTAAAAATTAAGTTTCTTAACTTATAAACAAACTTAAAAGTATTTTCATTCTACGTATAATTACAAAACTCTTTTTTTTTCGTTTGTAAGCAATTTAACTTAATAAAATAAAAAAAGAATAAATATGAGGTAATCTTTGTTATGAACAAATTTAATTTATTTATTGAAATATATTTTAATTTTTAATTATATATGAACTTAATTAAAATATAGTAACATGTGAAAAATATTTTAACATGGCTTGTGTTATTTATAAACTGTTGGCCAGTTGCTCTTACGGCACCATTGTTTTAGGATAATATTTTATTTTGATAAAGATCACATAACTTACATTTGATTTTAATAACGTAAGTTTGCTCTTTTTCTGTGATCATCGCATCGGCAAAGCATCGGCAAGGTTTTTATATACTAGTTTGTTAGGTACAAGGTTTTTATATACTAGTTTGTTTTGTTTTATAAAGAAAAATACATATTCATTAGTAAAAAATGGAGACTGTAATTAAACTAAAACGTGCCTTTGTGTTTATTTAACGGAACCTGTAATGTGCGCGTGCATAATGAAACCTTTTAGGTGCTCCCATAAGTCCTTACGGTCTTATCATAGAGCACCGCGGGAGAGCATTTAATAGAAAGTTCACGCCTCCTTCCGTACCAATGTCGCTTTTTGGGCTGGAGCTGGCGTCGAACCTCGGACCTCTGTGTTCTGAGCCAGTACTCTAACCACTGCGCCACGGCTGCTCCTTCGTTATATAAATATATTCAAACCTTCCTTATATAAATATATTCAACGTAATATTATTGTCATCAGCGGATGTTGTAGTCTACTCATGATTTCTCTACCTTATAATATAGCTTGATTTGTGAAAAAAAAAAACTTATTGAATCGCACGCAGAAGAAATTTAACAAATTGTCTTCATTCAAATATTGTGAGTAACAGGTAATTTTTTTTTCTGTGCCGACCCCCTCCCACCGCATAACTTAAAGGTAGTTCTTATTAGTTAAAGGTATCTGTATACCTTTAACTAATAAGAAAAGACATTTTTTTTAATATCTCGAAAAAATGTCTTGATATTTTTGTATCATGATAACAAAAATATAAGGACATTATTTGAAAATGTCAATTCTTAATTACAAATTTTTTTGCAAATGTTTTTTATTATAAATTCAGTAAAAATTTCTTAAAAAATCTATATTACGAAAAACATTTATATTCTGTATTAATAAATATGGAATATAGATTTTTTAAAAGCTTTTTACTGAAAACTTTAAAAAATTACTACTTTTTATTAAAAACATTGCAAAAAATTTGTAGTTAAGGATTGACAAACTATTTTTTTATGTGGCTAAATATTTGGATAAAAAGTTTAGCGTCAAATTAATTGCTATAATGTCAAATTAATTGCTATAATAGAAAGATATATCGCGATGAAAATTTACACAATTATTTTTAAAGTAAATTCTTTTTTTTAAAATAAATATCTTTACATATCGTTATTTAAAAGTTAATGTGGTTTTTTCTTTAAAATAACTACTTCTTTTATGTTACCGCTAATTTAAAAGTTAAAAAATGATAAAAAGTAGCTTAACCAAAACAGCTGTTTTGGTTACGCGTAAAGCTGTACAGCTCATACAGAGTATACGCGTAGAGCTGTACAGCTCTACGCGTATACTCTGTACTCTATACTCTGTACTCTGTACTCTACGCGTACGTAAATCGCCCTAGGCGTAACGCTTTAAAACAAGGCCTGTATATATATATATATATATATATATATATATATATATATATATATATATATATATATATATATATATATATATATATATATATATATATATATATATATATATATATGTATAGATATATATATATATATATATATATATATATATATATATATATATATATATATATATATATATATATATATATATATATATATATATATATATATATATATATATATATATATATATATATATATATATAGTATATCATATACCCAGTTTTTAACTATTTATTTCAATATCTGTATAAATTTCAATATATGTATCAATATTAATACGATTCTCAAGTAATTAAATGTTTAAAAAAATATATAAAAATTAGCAAGAACCTGTTTATAAGTCGCTTTTCATAAGGTGCTTTTAAAATTCTCTTTGAATCTTTGCAAAGTTCCAAACCTTGATTTGGCAATATTTCAAAAAGATCATTAACTAATGTACTGGTTCCATTATAAAATAGCATAATGTTGTCGAGTAAAGACATTGAATTCAAAGAATTATTAGGATAATAGTTCCATGATCATTAACAGGTTTTCCTATTGAAAAATTCGATTCTGCATGAGATGTCTAAATCGTATTGTTAGAACTTGGTTCTTGATATAGCAATACTATACTAATAGTATATCAAGTATATATATATACATAGTATAGCATATATTCAGTTTTAAAACGTTTCTTTCATTATCTGTAAAAATTTCATTACCTGTATCAATATTACCATAATTTTCAATTGATAACAAAAATAAAAATTAGATGAAACGTGTCTAGTTGTTGTAAAAAGACTTCTTTTGTAATTGAAAAAAAACTTTATTAAAAATGCGTTACTTAAAAATTTAATGAAGTTTTAGCGCTTGCGTGATTTAACTGATTTTTTTTTATTTTAATAAAGCATTTTGCATATTTTTTGGACGAAAAAATTATTGGACTCGAATAAGACGTTCAATAGACGTTTAGAATTTTAATGGGACGGACGGACGCGATTTGAAAGTCCTAAGGACGTCTTTTTTACGTCCTGTGCCCACTGGGATAGAACGTTAAAAAAATGTTGTTTTTTAACAAATAATATCTATTATTTTGGTTTTTAAACAAAATGCATGGGTGATGTGATTTTCTAAACATATAATAGTGTATTTCTACGTTTTGTGAAGGTGATGTGATGTTCTAACATTCTAAGCACTATCTACGATATTGTTTTTTAACAAAGTATATGGGTGATGTGATATTCTAAACATATATAAGTGTATTTCTAAATTTTATTAAGGTGATGTGATATTCTAACGTTTTAAGCACTATCTAGTATGTTTTTTTTTTTTAACAAAAACATGGGTGATGTGATATTCTAAACATGTAATAGTGTATTTCTAAATTTTATAAAGGTCATGTAATATTCTAACATTCTAAGCACTATCTAGTAAGTTGTTTTTTAACAAAATATATGGGTGATGTAAAATTCTAAACATGTAACAGTGTATT